GCTGGTGGATGTTATGTCGCGGGCTGTAGAGAAATTAAATATTGAATGGCCATCTGAGAAGAAGGGCGCTCGTCCTAAAAGCAAATTAGATGAGCGCTTTTTATCTTCCACCACATTATCTCCACCACGAGGGCTTCCATTTTTTCCCGGTTTGCACAATGAAATATCTAAATCGTGGAATAAACCTTACTCATCACGTCTTTTCAGCCCTCAAGTTAACACTTATTCGAGAATAAGAGGGCTGAAAGAGTATGGTTATGAGGCGATGCCCCAGGCGGAAGAGAATTTAGCCAGTTATCTTTCCCCTGGTCCCGCATCGTCTCTGAAAGCCTCGGCTTTGCCCACTAGACCGCTCAAAGCCACTTCGGTGTTAGTGGGCAAAGCTTATACGGCAGCAGGTCAAGCTGGAGCATGTCTGCATACTATGGCAGTGCTCCAGGCTTATCAAGCTGACCTGCTGGGGGATCTGGATAGTAGTGAGGGAGTCAGTCATGACGATATTCGTGAACTTCGTCGGGCTACCGATCTTTCTCTCAGGGCTACTAAGGAGACCGCCAGAGCAATTGGGCGGTCTATGGCAGCCTTGGTAGCTACTGAGAGACATTTATGGTTAAATCTGTCTGAAATTAAAGAAAAAGATCGAGCTTTTTTATTAGATGCTCCGCTTGAACCTTCTGGTCTCTTCGGCGACGCAGTCCACGCGGTCGTCGAGAGATTTCAGGAGTCAAAGAAACAAGCTGACGTTTTTAAAAAGTTTATCCCTCGCCGGGTCCAGCCCCCTGGGGCTGCTGGTCGTGAGCAGCCCCAGCCGTCGAGCTCATCATATCGTGTGCATCAGAAAGAGAGTGTTGCGTCTCGTGCACCTCCACGTAGAGACTGGAGACGGACGCAACCCTCTCAACCGAAGTCTTCTAAGTCGAAGCCGGATCTGAGGACTGTTCTTCAGGCGAAGAAGACTTCGGTTCAAAAAAAAAAAAAAGGTCCTGATCTTCATGCATCAGGCCTGTGAGGACAGCCCCGACCGAAGTGGAGCGGTGTTCACCTCATTATACGGTGCCCGTTCCATTTCGGGGTCCTCACGAGACCGTTCTGCCAACCCTGCCACCCTCGGTGCTTCAGGGCGCAGCGGTGTCCAGCGAGTCGCTGATGCTATGCTGCGGCACAGCATCGGTTTCGCGCCCTCTGAGGGGGGCCTTAGAGCGGCAAGTTCAGGTAGTTCCTGCCATTATGTTTCAGGCTCCGGAATTAGCCGTCTCGATAACACCAGAGACCAGCCTCGAGAGGCTGGTTCCCTTAGTAAATTTTCTGGCAGCGTGGAAGCTTCTGCCGAATATTTCTCGTTGGGTCCTGCAGATTGTAGAGAAAGGATACAGAATCCAGTTTGGTTCTCGTCCTCCTCGTTACAACGGGGTGCTGCCCACAGTGGTGCATCCCGAGCAGGCTCTGGTAATGGAGCAAGAGGTAAAGGCCCTGTTAGCAAAGGAAGCTATAGAACAGGTGTACTCACCCGACAGAGAGTCGGGTTTTTACAGCCGTTATTTCATTGTTCCAAAAAAGGATGGAGGGTTGCGTCCCATTTTAGATCTTCGTCTGTTAAATCGTTCAGTACAGAAACTCAAGTTCAAGATGCTGACACTCAAGCAGATCGTGACTCAAATCAGATCCGAGGACTGGTTTGTCACGATAGATCTGAAGGACGCTTACTTCCATGTCTCCATCCTCCCTCAGCACAGGAAGTTCCTAAGGTTTTCTTTCGGGGGCAAAGAATACCAATATCGGGTTCTTCCTATGCGTGGATGCAGCTCTAGCCCCTCTCAGGCTTCAGGGCATACGTATTCTGAACTACATCGACGACTGGCTGATTCTAGCGGAATCAGAGCAGTTGGCGGTTCGGCACCGAGGTGTCGTTCTCGCTCATATGCAGATGTTGGGGTTGAGGCTCAATGCCAAGAAAAGTGTGCTTTCTCCAGTACAGAGAACCACTTTCCTTGGTGTGGTATGGGATTCAGTGACGATGCGGGCCACTCTATCGCCCGTTCGTGTAGCTGCTATCCTGACAGCCACCAAAGAGCTAAAGCTAGACCAGTCACGCACTGTAAAACAGTTCGAGAGACTGTTGGGTCTTTTGGCGGCAGCGTCCAACGTGATTCCTTTTGGCCTGCTGTACATGAGACCTTTGCAGTGGTGGCTCAGGACCAGAGGGTTCTCCCCGAGGGGAAACCCACTTCGTATGATCAAGATCACGCGGCGATGCCTTCGTGCCTTGGTTATATGGAGAAAACACTGGTTCTTAACCCAGGGTCCGGTGTTGGGAGCTCTCTGCCATCGAGTCACGATCTCGACAGATGCTTCCCTCACCGGCTGGGGAGCGGTAATGGAAGGCCGCTCGGTTCAGGGTCGGTGGAGGAGTCATCATCTTTCTTGGCACATAAATTGCCTGGAGATGATGGCCGTCTTCAATGCGTTGAAGCAATTCCTCCCAGACCTGAGGGGCCATCATGTGCTCGTCCGTACAGACAACACATCGGTGGTCTCTTATCTGAACCGTCAGGGGGGTCTGCGGTCGCGTCCGCTTTGCAAGCTGGCGCACCAGATCCTCCTGTGGTCTCTGGGGAAGGTACTCTCCCTGAGGGCAGTGTATATTCCTGGGGACCAGAATATTGGGGCAGACATCCTGTCGAGGCAGGAGCTGAGGCCAGGGGACTGGAGACTCCACCCCGAGGCGGTGGAGAAAATTTGGGAGTTTTACGGCCAAGCAGAGGTGGATCTGTTTGCGTCTCAGCATACGACGCACTGTCCACTTTGGTTCTCCCTTACTCACCCAGCCCCCCTGGGGCTGGATGCTATGGTGCAGACGTGGCCGAGGCTACGTCTGTACGCATTTCCCCCTGTTGCTCTGCTCCCAGGAGTTCTGGAACGAGTCCGCCAGTACGGAATAAGCCTACTGCTAGTAGCACCACGCTGGCCGAGTCGGATCTGGTTTGCGGACCTGATCCATCTCTTAGACGGTCCTCCCTTGGAGATCCCGATCAGGAGAGACCTTCCGTCTCAGGCCGGGGGCACAATATTTCACCCTCGACCAGAAATTTGGAACCTGTGGGTTTGGCCTCTGAGGGGGCCCAACTCATAGAGAGTGGTCTCTCAGCTGAGGCTGCTGAGACCATTCTAAGCTCCAGAGCTCCAGCTACTAGGAAACTTTATGCGCTTAAATGGAGAGTTTTTTCTGTATGGTGTCACCGACATCAGTGGGATCCAGTTAACTGTTCTGTGAACACAGTACTCGAGTTCCTGCAGGAGCGCTTTACGTCAGGTCTATGTCCTTCCACGCTCAAGGTCTACGTGGCGGCCATTGCGGCTTACCACGCCCTGGTGGGGGGTACATCGTTGGGTCGAGACCCCCTGATTACACGTTTCCTTCGTGGCACTTTGAGGCTAAGGCCTGCAACTCGCACTAGGGTGCCAGCTTGGGATCTTGCTTTAGTACTAGAAGGCCTGTCTAGGGCTCCATTCGAGCCCTTAGATTCGGTTTCAGAGAAGTTTCTTACCTTTAAGACTATCTTTCTGCTAGCTATTTCATCCCTTAAGAGAGTTGGAGACCTTCAGGCCCTTTCGGTTTCCCCCACTTGCCTTGAGTTTGCACCGGGGATGGTCAAGGCATTCTTATATCCAAAACAGGGATACGTCCCTAAGGTGCCGACCTTGACTCCGAGGCCTATTGTGCTGCAGGCTTTCTGTCCTCCTCCTTTTACATCTGCGGACCAGGAAAGGCTGAACCTCTTGTGTCCAGTGCGAGCACTGGATACTTATGTTCATCGGACATCGTCAATGAGGAAGTCCGACCAGTTATTTATTTGCTTTGGATCACCTAAGAAGGGTCTTCCTGCTTCTAAACAGACGGTTAGTAAGTGGATAGTTGAGGCTATTTCACTTGCATACGAGTACTCTGACCTGCCGTGTCCTTTGGCGGTCAGAGCTCATTCTACGAGGGGTATGGCGGCCTCTAAAGCCTTACTATTTGGAGTTTCTCTTCAAGACGTTTGTGATGCGGCAGGCTGGTCCTCACCGCTCACATTCGTTAGGTTTTACAGCTTAGACCTGGATGCTGCCCCAGGTTCTCAGGTGCTTAGTGCTTAGTTCCAACAGACTGACACTCAGGTACTTGGAATTCTGGCGTTTTGGGTATTCTCGTTCCCAAAGCGTCAAGTGACGCATCGAGAGTTCCCTCGAAAGGGAACGTCTCAGGTTACTACTGTAACCATAGTTCCCTGAGAAAGGGAACGAGACGATGCGTCACCCTGCCATACTTCCTGCATCCCTGTGATCGGCTTGCTTCGACTTTTTGAAGCTAATGCCGCGTTTCACCGGGTGAGCCTTAATCCCTTCCTGGTCATGACGTCACCCGCCCGTGACGCTCATTCTTTCCATTGGACTAGTTGACATTGATGCTCAGACGCATGCACGCTGGGGGCGTTCCCAAAACGTCAAGTGACGCATCGTCTCGTTCCCTTTCTCAGGGAACTATGGTTACAGTAGTAACCTGAGACGCTTTGCCATCACAGGAAAAAAATACATTTATAATATATTATACTTGAAAACAGTTATTTTTAAATGGCAATAATTTCACAATATTACTGTTTCCCCTGTATTTTTAATACAATAAATGCAGCCTGGGTGAGCATTAGAGACTTCTTTTAAAAACATTTCACAATCTTAGCGAACCCAAACTTTTGAACAGTAGTGTACTGCCAAACCAATAAAAATATGGCAGAAGATATTATGAAGGAGAGAGGAAAGAGAGCGGGTGGCTGCACATTGAGCAGCGAGAATTGTCTCATGTGAGTTGTTCTCAGAAGAGTCACAGGGGGTTCAGGCAGGCCGTAGGCTGTGTCACTATTGTGTGGGAATGAATGACTGAAGTTGCCTATACAGTACTTTGTTCTTGACGCAGCACACAATGTTTTCGCTTTTTTCATGTTTGCTCTGTTTTCATTTCTCTGTAGACGGTGCGTCATGGATTTCCCTATCAGCCCACAGCTCTGGCATTTGACCCGGTGCAGAAGATCCTTGCCATCGGCACTCGTTCCGGAGGAGTACGTCTGTATCCTTTTTTTCCGTCAGTGATCCAATGCTGTTTCCTCCACAGTGTAATTTCAAGACTTTGGGAGGGCTTTTGGGCTTTGGGATAGCTGCTTTCTGAGGTAAGGTATAATGCTGTCATGTTTCCTTGCTTTAAAGACCTCCCTATGGCATAGAGGAGTGTAAGACCATTTGACTGACACCCAGAGGAATCGCCGCACAATGTCACACATGCATTAATACTGAGAATGACTGACAGAAAAATTGAGAGAGACAGTTCCAACATAGTTGGATAAATAATGGCTAAACATGAGTATTGGCCACTAACAGAAACCTGCATTAGCTTAGCATTTTTGTTCAATAATTCTTTGGCAGCATTATTGAACAGGCCTGCGTGGATTCTGTGCCTGCAAAACTCCACAGAAAATGAATTATTGAGTGAAATCAGTGTTCTTGCCTTACCAGTAAGCCTACAGTAATGTTTTATTTTCAGAGATGTCTGATTCGATTTGCTGGGTAATTTCCCGTCTTCGGCCATTGTTTGCATTTACGTCATGTAAACAATAAAAAAGGGCCAACTACTTTGCAAAAAGCAGTGCACTTTGAGAAGCACATTTTTGAAAAAGGTAAATTGCTCCAAACAGATGTTGACTGAAAGCCCAGACAATGTTCCTTTAAATATTGTGCCAAATCTGGTGATGCTTTAAGCAACTAATATGACTTTAAGGGCATGTTCACACTTGGTAGGTTTGGTTCAATTCAAACAAACTCTGATGCTCTGCTAGTGTGGTTCACTTGAATAAGCGTGAACATTTCTATCCAAACCCCGGTGTGCACCAGACTGCCAAAAAGATGGGTCTCAGTCCGCTTCCAAACAAACTCTGGTGCGATTCGAATGAAATATGAACGCAGCACAGACCAAAAACATTAAAAAAAAGTCATAAAAGCTTTTTTTTTTTTTTATCTTTAGGTTTGGTCTTAAAAATGACAGTGTGAATGCTTAGTGAACCAGGACTAAATGTATCATTTGTACCAAGAGAACTAAACTACAACTACACACCCTAAGACTCAGTTTTGCTACATTTTTCCACATTTAAATCCATTCCACATAATTCAGCTGATTTTCCTAAAAAAATAAAAATAAAAGCAGCTTAGAAAATGTAAAGTGTGCAGTTTCCATGTCGGAATTATTCATTTCAATACAGATATAATGAATTTTAAATTCGCCAAAGAGAAAGAGCTCACAATTTAGAAGAGAATATAGAAGTGAAAATATGTGATCTGATTTTTGGTGTGTGTAATTTATTTTCTCAGTCGCATGAATAAATGAATCACGTTCCTTTAACCCGATCCCAGCACTTGTACAACTCAAGTGTCTGGAGTGTTTTATGATTTGGAAACATTGCCTGCAAAGAAATCTACTTAAAATGTTTTAGTTTGTCCTTAATGATGATGCTATTTATTTGGTTAGTCACAAGAGGTTTGCTTGCGATATTGAGAAAACAAAGTCTGTGTGCAGGAGTCAGACTAAGCAGGAAGTAGAGAGAAGAAATGCCCAGGAATCATGTGGCAGACAGATGAAAGGAGGGAGGGAAAGAGAGATAGTGAGCCATTTTTGCATCATAGTGAATTAGCTTTGTGCTAATTATGGACCTGTCATTACCGTAGATAACTATGGACTGTGTTACTTAACTGTGAAAAGCATGACTCTCCCTGTCTCTCTCTCTCTCTCTCTCTCAATCTGTCTCTTACTTTTTTTCTGATACTTTTTCTTCTACTGTTTGTGTCTTTCTGTCTGCCCTTTCATCCGCATGTATCACATGCTAATGAGACATGAAAGGAAGGGGCTTTGACTCTGTTAGGAGTCATTTCTGTGTCGCTGAAAGTTTTGGCATTGACTATTGTGTAAAGTCACTGTGTGCTGTGCACAGATTTTAGATCATCATTGTATTCTGTTGCATGACATCCACTGCAAGGGCCTTTGATACCTATATAATATACTTATACTACTTTTTAGAAGTTTGGGGTCAATAATATAATATTTATAACAATCTTTCATCCTGTACACATCATAATGTACTACTGCTTACTGATTGTGTTTGTTTCAGATTACGTTAGCATTTTGTTCATCCTCACTTTTTCTCTTTATCTTTTCCTGGGCAGAATGATATATTTAGTTCTTGTTCAGAGCTCTGTATTGATTGAAAGCAGCCAAAGTTAAACATTCACACTGCACTATTGATTATCAACCTCTCTGTGCACTCACTGCATTCACTGCATACACTGTCTGCAAATCATTTTTATAGGGGAATACTCAACGTGTGCATGGGTGAACTTGCATTTGTGCTCGTTTTAGAAAGGTCTGTAAATATATTAAAATAGCGCCTCTCTTTATAGCTTAGGAAAGAAAGACAGGTGGCAGGTGTTAAACACGCTAGTATATGTACTGTGTATAAAAATAGGCACCATGCTGATGTAAGCAAGGAGCACATTATACTGACCGGTTTTATTGATGTCATCTGTGTGTTTTGATGCAGATCTTGGCAGGATGGCAGTATGCAGGGCTGAGATTGGTGTGGCATTCACTTTACTGCAGTCAGCTAACTGCATAAGCCCCATGAATGAAGACAAATAATCAATCTCATACCAATCCAGTAAAGTCATTCTAAACTTTCGCAATTTTATAGAACCAAACACAGATGAAAAACCCGTATTAAGATTCTGTTTTGAGTTTTGACAAAATACATAAAAAATGTACTTTGCAAGTGAATTTGACCCCTGAACTACAGTAAGAAATCCTGACAGAATATAATCGTCACGTTGATGTAAGGGTCTTAACAGATTATGCTAGCTACTTGTGTGTGTCTGTAAGAATATGCAGGGGTGTAGGTTTTGTTTGAACATTGTTTTAGACACATATGTTTAAGACAAAAGGCAACAATTTCTTTCCAAATTTTTCAATAATGGCACAATTATGGAATGGTACACAATATTAATTTGACTAGTTTGTGAGTAGGAGAAGCACCATGCTTATTTTCATTGCCATTTAAAAAAATTGAGCACCGGATTGAGTTTGTAAACGGTATTTTAAATGCAAAATGGTAAAAAGTGTAAAAGTTTGGGGTCGTTCTCTAATGCTCACCAAGGCTGCATTTATTTGTTCAAAAATACAGTAAAAACTGTAAAATTGTGAAATTGTAGTATATTAAAGGTGCAGTGTGTAGATTTTAGCCGCATCTAGCAGTTCGGTTGCGAGTTGCACTAATGGCTCAGCCCACTGCTCACCCCTCCCTTTCGAAGAAGCTACGGTGGCTAAAACGGGACAAACATATCGTCGTCTGAGACAGCAGAAAGTGCTCATGACATGACATTACAATCAAAAATGACATGATTGTAACAGCGCGCGTGCCTCCGCATCCCCTAGACACCATTTGCTACACACAAATTAATAAATAATAATGAATAAAAATATTGTTTTTTTTCTCTGGTTTTGAAAACTCTTCGCGATCGACTTAAAATGCTTCCAAGATCGACGGGTTGGTGACTCCTGTAACGTTACTGTTTTACGGTCAATAGTACTAATCAGCTGATTGTCAAAGCCATAACACAGCGAGGGAGAAGAACTGAGTTACATGAAACAATCCAACTACATATTTTACACCACTGACAAGGGAAAAGTCACTACTCACGGTGTCTATGGCTAGCTTCTAGCTTTCTGCGGCTTCTCTTTCAAGGTATGACCGAAACGCGCTCTGTAGCGCTGTTTGTTCGCTGTCGGCTACAGTAGAAACATGCCGTCACAATATGTTGACCTTCATAGAAGGGGGTGCCCGCGGTTATGTAGATATAAATGTCTCATTCTTAGGTAATAAAAACATTACGGTTCATTGAGTAAGGTCTTTATACACCACTGAATACATAGTTATGGATCTTATATTGCATTTCTGTCAATAGATCCTCAGAAATATTACACATTGCACCTTTAATACAATTTAAAATGACTGTTTTCCATCTTAATATAATTGAAATGTTGGCAAAGCTGAATTTTTAGCATCGTTACTCCAGTCTTCAGTGTCACATGATCATTCAGAAATCATTCTGATATGCTGATTGGATGCTCAAGAAACACTTTTTTTAAACAATGTTGAAAACATTGTGCTTTATTTTTGTGGAAACCGTGATCATGTTTTCTTAGGATTCCTTGATGAATAGAAAGTCCAACAGCATTTATTTGAAATCAAATTTTTAGTATACTATTTCTATATTTTAAATTTGTGTAAAATTAATAAAAAAAAATAATACTCGCTTTTTCTGAGCTCTATTGCGTTTCTTTTTGTATTGGTTTCTCAAATCCAAATCCAGAAATTTTATAGAGAGATAAATAGATGTCTTTCTGTTTCCTTATAAAAAAAAACAACCTTTCATTTACATGTTACACCAAATACAGTAGTTATAATAATCACCTCAGATGCAGGGTGTTTCACATGCTAGCACAGGCAAGCATCATTGTTACCACGACAACGACATACACTTCTGCATTCCACACTACTACTTGTGTGTATTGAAAAGGAGCCAGAAAAGCATGCCGGCTAGCACATAGTTGATATAATATAGCTGTTTGTGAATGTAAAAGGTCTGCAAAGTTTCAAAGATCAAAGTGCACAACAAATACAGTCTGACTGACTGAAATGAGTTGTCAGTAATTTCGGGTCTTGATCCTGCTGAAATCTAAGTAGGTTTGTAACAAATTTGCATATAACCAACCTATGGTCTTCGTTCACTGCCCGCAAATAACGTCGACCACTTAGAAACGCCCTGCTCAAGTCGTGCTTGCGCTGGTGGTTCAAATTGATCAACTATTTCTTCGAATGTTTCATTATCGGACTCAGACTCAAATTGATGCTGTAAAAACAATGCCATCGTTTCTGTTCATAACGTACAAGTGCTGAGGAAGCCTCCAGAATGTTTTGTTTCAGACATGCGCTGTAAGCTGTAGACCAATCACAACAGACTGGGCCATCT